TTTTGGAATATTAGAAGTCTGAAAAAAGAAGAATAAAAACATAATCGTTTGATATTGTCTTAAGAATTCTGTTTTTTTTCCTTGTTTCTTTCATTTTATTTCTGAAAGCAATTCAATGTAAATGTAAAAAAAAAAAAAATACCAAATATTTGAGACTGAACTACTGAACTGCATTAAGTATTAAAAATAAGATTACAAAAGTATAATTACATATTAAATCCATGTAAAATAAAGGTTTTTTAAAAATATATCTGTTCATCCAAACATGGACTTTCTGTTATGATACAGATCTGATGGATTGTAATTGTTAATCTATCCAATGGATCCTGAATTCTATTTTGTTCATCAAGTTATGATTAGAATAGATTATACAAAAATTGTAATTAGAAGATAGTAGTAAAATAAAAGTTTTTAAGTAACTTTTGTCAATTTCATAGTATAATTTAGATTATTTAAACAATTTAACACCTTCCTATTATTAAAAACTCCTCTTAAAACTTCAACATTATTAATTATTCATAGTGTGGCTTTGTTAAGCCATATTTCTTCTGTCTTTCCTTTCTCTTCATTACTTGTGACCACGTCTTATGGAAAAACACCACTTCCGGCCTTTGTTTACTTGGCTACTATGTGGTTGGTTAAACCATGTAGTCCGATCTGTGTTAGACAATAGGGGCTGATGCTTGATTGGTCAAAGGGGGTGACGGACAAGGTGGACGAAAGGGAGGTCCGAACAGGAAGAGAGTCAGTTCGGGACGAGACCGTGTGGAGTGAGGACATGTTAGGACGAGCTAGGAAAAAAGGAAGTCGCCACGTGGAAGATCTGAGGTTTTTTTTCTTTTGACCAGTCACCCCTTTATTCTCCATTCCTTATGATTTTTTCTTTTTCCATCCTTCGCTAAATTTTTGGGCCCTAGGTTTAAAGTAATTATTTAAGTTAGATTTAAACTAGACTAAGATTCTATTGTCAGTTGAACGTGGGATCCACGTGCTGTGTCGGGACGAGAGTTCAGACCTAGTATTGTACTGTACAACCTAGTTTTAAGTATCGGTATTTGTCTATTTGGATTCTGGAATTTTTTTTGTTAATAAATTATATCAAAGCCGAATTATCCTTTGGGAGTCAATTATTTATCGTTCGGCTACAATAGCTACCTATAAATAATTAGCATTTTTACATTAGAGCTAAGACTTATACAACGAATAGCCGCTGAACACGGATACGGCAAGCTCGTACACAAGTACGAGATATATTTACATTGTAATTAAATAGTAATTGAGAATGACAAGATATGGATAAGATCATTCCAGTCAATTATAATCCGTATATTAGACGGCTATATGGAGAAATAGCTAAAAAGAACCACATACGTATAGCCTACAGAAGGTGTGCATTGATCTTCAACATTCTAACCAATGGAAAAGATCAACCGGATAAGGATAAGCTGTCAGGGGTCTACAGCATACCGATTATAGATCGCAGATGTGATAGAAACCTTCTGTATGTGGGCTCCACCAAATGATCCTTAGAGGTTAGACTAAAGGAACACGCTGCTGATATTCAGAAATAAAGGAGCACGATGGCCCTAGCAGTATATGCCTCCGATCTGGATATAGACCCCGAATTTAAGAAAGCAAGAATTATCCACACCACACGGCACATACACCATATCAGATGGCTAGAGGCGGCCAGCATATACTTAGCTAACCTTAAGGATAATCAATGCATCAATTATAAAGAAGAGATTACGTTATCAACAGCATGGCTAGCGTTTATGAATGGTAATTTATGATTGTCCGTTTTGGAGTTGACTGCACATGACATACAATGACGGAAACAGAAAACGTGCATTCGAACTTACATATTTCGAATTTAAAGTTTTTACGAGCTGCATTTTCCATCGGAGATTCGAAAAAAAAGCCTGAAGAAGAACCGTTATAGGGGTTCGAAAACGTTAGTTTTGGTTTGTTTTGGATCGTTCAGAGTTAGTAGACGCACCGGTAACAGGTTAGAAAGAGATTTATATTTTTACATTAATTTTAAACTTAGTTAAATTATTTTTATGACCTTTATATTTAAAAGACTTTATTGTTACTTTTATTTTAATTTAAATTTAACTATTGTTGTTCAATTTGTAATAAGTTTGTAAAATGGTGTTCCATTTTTTAAATATTTGTATATATAAGATAGATTTACTATTTACACTCTGTGTGCTAAAATTTTTTATCTTTCAAATAAAAAGCAGTTTTATTTCTAATAGTAAACAATATGTGGCCAGGATTCACTAAATTTGAAGATTTTAAAAATATTACCTTAATATAAAATGGGTTTCTATATTGCAGAATTTAAAAATGAATCAATTAAACCAAAATTGTAATGACAACTTGTTTAGTTTCAATCTCATTACAAGAATGGCAAGTAATGCATAAACAAGACAAAACATTATACAGACAAGTCAGAAATATTGTTTTAAATGCATATAAGATGTTTGGAAAACACACATTTATTATGAAGTATAATTTATCAAAAGAAAAACAAAAATGCTAAAATTATGGGAGTCACAGGCTTTTTATTGGCAAAACGTTTTTCGAGACTTTTGTCCCATCTTCAGATCACAAAAATTTAATTCAAATTTTTGTGGGCTGAGAACTAAGGTTTGTTACTGTAGTTTTGGAATAGTTTCCTGAGATCTCCTTAACAGATGACATTCAAATAAAATAAATTTTTATTTATATTCAACAAATTAATCTCCAGAATTTAGTAAGAAGAAAAACAATTAAATATTTGTTCAATCATTTTATACAAAATCTGATTGAATTTGGTAAAATATAACCATATAAATCAGCAATAATCAGTCTAAGTTACTGGTAAGTTACATCACTTGCAACACTCAACAAAGAAAAATATCGATGAGCCTGATGTAAGATCTGATTTAATTATTAACACTTTTTTTGGTACTTTTTGGTTAATGAGTCACCAGAAGACTATTGTGAAAGACTATCGCATTTAACAAGTTAGCCCACATGACTGTGCCAGCTTTGAGTAGCCCACTTGACTGATCACAGAGTACTTAATGTTGTGTACTTTGAGGGCATGTGGGGCTCGCCCCCACCCAAGCACCGAGGTGCAAGTGATAGCAATTAAATACTGAACTTTGGAAATGAATATCACAAAGGTTCAACAATTCTGGGATGGTGTGAAATTCCTCATTCAGAGCTTGAATCTTACCCATTCCTATATATATTGGCTGGCTATTAACTGAAAAGTACCCTTTTTTCTAGTGAATTTAATTTAATTTTTTTCAGAATCTGCCTGTTAATATATTATTTAAATAAAACATTTACTATCATTTTCATAAACAATTTAACATCTATGAGTACTAAACAATTCCATTTAGTGCTGTACTATACAGTACTCAAATAAACTATTGTAAACAGCTTGATTTTGCATTACATGTAATCTGTATTTCAATACAGTCGACCCTCCTATAACACGGTAGATACGTTCCTGTTTTTATGAATCCAGCTTCTAGGAGTCCAACCAATCACAGCCTGGCACATATGCAGTTTACAGACTACATCTGTTTGAAAGGTTTCTTTCATAAAATTAATCGATTCTAGACTAATTCGACTCAACATTTCCAAAATACGTATAATTTTTTGGGAATAATCCATATAAACTATGCTATAAACAAAAAATTGTAGGATTACTTACCGAGTGTGCACTGTTCGACTACGCTGCTGTTTAAGCTTGTTTTCATCATGGAGATTGTCATCGAATGGCGCTTGCGTGCTTTCTGATAAATTATTTCTTTTGCAAAAAATTCGCTGAACCTTAGACACATCATTAATATAAATATAATTTTTATGTACGTTAAATAATAAATGATTTTTGGTAGGTCCGCTGCTCGTTTAAACTCAATGGTTTGTGCAATCCTGTCGCAACACGAGTCGGCGATGACGTTTTACCAAATTATGAGTTTTTTAAGCATGTTTGTACGAATACTGTTGCAATTTTTTCGCCGTGATATAGGAATCCGAACTATAGGAACCTGTGTTATAGGGGGGGGTTGACTGTACTCTATTATTCAGTATTAATACATTACCTTGTATGAAAGTTTGAATTATTGTATATTGAAAAGGATAGACAGTATTATGTGAATTTTATATATTTATTGTTTACTTTTATAATTGGTGTAAAACTTTTATAAAATTCAATATGGTACTCAAATTACAATTTCGTATGTCAATTTTTTCATAACCACATGTAGGACCTCACTTATGTAGATATACACTGTATACTCCACAATGACCATATAAATAAAGTTTTATTGTACTACTAAATTCAGATTAAGTTAGAATGCTATGAACATAAAATAAAATTTTATAAATTAAAAATAAATAATATATATATTTACAGTGGAACCTTGCTTAACAAACACCTCGCATAACGAGCAAACTAAATTGCAAAAATTTGACTCACTTAATGAGTGATGTTTTGCAAAACAAGTGACAAGAGGGGAAATCCTGGATTGTGTGTATGCTCCATCAGTCTGTGTTTAGCACTCGTTCTGCTAGCATCTTAGTGTCACTTGTGATCACACATTTTTCCGAACATGTGTTCACACACATTACGTATAAACATCAACAATCATGGCCCATTCATTATATAATAAACATGCCATCTTGTACTAAATTTAATGATCAATTCCAAATTAAATTTTAGAAATGTCTAAATTAAAAATTATTTATTTATAATTATTAAATTTAATACGAGATGGCAGCATAACTGCCTACCTCTAGTCAAATTAATTAATTTCTAATATTTAATTATAGCCTTTACATAACCCAAGAATTTGGCATATTGTTTGGTGTTCTCATCAGACATATTATCAGTGATTTTTTTTTTGTTTTCTGCAAATTGAATTTGCATTTCAGGTTGGTTCATTCCATGCTAGAAGAAAAGATGATGATTCATGCTTCTTAACAATGTATATTTGTAATTTTTTTTGAACAAACAATATAAATAAAATATTTGAGTATTTTTTTGGCATGGAACACATTAATGCATTTTACATGAATTTCTATGGGAAAACTGTTTTGCTAAATGAGTGTTTTGCATATGAGTAAGATTCTGGAACGAATTATGCTCGTTAAGCAAGGTTCCACTGTATTTTTAAATATATATTTATTTATATATATAATATTGTTTAATTCATTATTTGTTTTAAATAAATACCTTGTGTCTACTAAAGGGAGAAAGTCCACTTCATGTAGCAATTTCAGACTAGGTAGACTATAAACAACAATATTACCATTTCCAATATAAGCTGCTAAACAAACATTTCCTAAAAATAAATTTTAAAACTTATTGAAATGAATAATAATTTATAAAAACATTAATGAATTTTTAAGTAAGTTGTAATTTTAAAATATAATAAAATATTGATTACTACATTACATAATTTTATACTTAACATTTAAATTCTGGCATATAATTAAGCTCAGGATAGAAATTTTCAAACTGAGGAACAACTCCAAAAAATGATATGAACTTGTTATAAGAATGCATGAAAAGATTGAAAATTTATATATAATGTTAATATGTATGTAAAAATCTACATTGAGGTAGTTGTATCATTTTTCTGACACAAGTTTAGTGATGAAATTTTTGAATTAGTCTATTATGATAAGAGCTATGAGTTCTCAATCAGCTATTACACTATATACAGCTATTGTTTATGTTTATAAACAAAAGATTATCATTGTAGTAATGCAAATCTAAAATTCTTATATATTGTCTTGAATTCCTCATTATTTGCTTAGTTCTAAAAATATATACACTATACAAGACTATAAAAATCCATTTATTGTTTCAAAAAATGGTAGGAGGAGACAGCTTTTCTGTGCTCAAACCATATTTATTCAGAGAAGTCTTCCCACTGTAATTATAAAGGAGAAACTATGCAAATTTAAAATTTTTCTTAAATCATGCTAATTATTTTCTAATAAAAACATTAATTTGTGTTCTGTTTTTAACTGAATAAGTGTCCTTCATGTTTTCAAAAACAAACAAAAAATTTGTTAATGCCAAATAATAATTATGTCTTTAATGTTATCTGATACAAATTTTCTGATATGATTAAAATATCTTAACAATATCATCATAGCTCAGGGGCATATCAAGGGAGTGCTTATGGTGCTGCAGCACCCCTTGATACCAAAGCAATAAGTGTTTTTGCTTTAAAATAAAAATAAAATAACACATAATGCATGACTTCAATGACAGAAATTAATTTTATACAAATAGTCTTACAGGAGAAAAATTTAAACTGATATTTCTCAGAAACATATAAAAAAATGTGGTGCACAAATTAAGAATACAAATTCAAAATAACTGCAATTTCAGTAATTTCTAAAAAAAAAAAAAAAGTTAACATTTTGATGAATTAACCTTTTCTATTCTTCCTGCTATCATACTAAGTATAAATTATACTGTAATCTGTATAATTTATAATCAATCTATCCATTAAAAATTGTCCATTTTCTACTTTTCATTTAACAATTTTAAAAAGCTAATGGGAAAAACAAAACCTAAAAAGTTAGATAACTAAAGCAATTCTGAAGTAATTAACATATACCACTCACCAAATAAACCATCACCAGTTCATAACAAAACAGAAAAATTCTTGCTACAAACATTTTCATCTATATGTAATAGACATCCTCAGGTATTGAGGATATCAAACAAATGGCTAGTAGAATAGAATGTTTTTAAAAGTTCCTGTTATTTTTCAGGTAATTAACATTCCCTGAAAAATAACGGCCTACTGAATTTGCATTGAGCAGCATCCTTATCTTTATAATCAAGCCATTTTCTTAGCTTATGTAAGATACAATATATATTCAAGTTAAATTACCATAAAATGGGGGTGATTTCAGCTCATGAAGGTGATTGTAGCCAAAATATTAAACAATAATAATAAACTCTCACAACTTCCAGAATATAAAATAATTGTAATACAGTTGAATTTTTTGAATTGATATCAATTTGATTTATAGAAAAAAAATATATCAAAACAGTTTCTGAATACGTTTATTTTTTATAGTTACTTTTTATACTTAAACATAATGATAATAAAAATTAACCTCTGAAAAGTTGATCTAGAAGAAAGAAATGGTGAAGGCATATGGGTCTATATTTTGCTAAAATAATTACTAATGCATCTACTTACATTCACAAAAAGAATTGGAATCAGCCAAACAAATGAAAAGGAAGTCACAACTGTAATGAAATACATTCCCATCAAGGGCAAGCAAATTACAGGTGTAAATAAATGTATACAAAGAGAGAATGTTTGTTTTTTACTTTGAGATAATCTCAGAATATATTTAATCAATTTTAAAATTATTTTGCCAGTGGAAAGCTGATGTACAGTACATACAAGCTAAGCTACCTTCAAACTTGGACCCCCCTCACACTTCCCTTGATTTTATCCCCCACAAATTGCCAAATACATTGACTGATTTGTACCGAATTTTGCATAGTTACTCTCTGCCATCCTGCAGGAAACATTTGCTACCTTGTAATGAGGACAACTCAACCTAATCCCCGAGTTCCCAGGCAAGGCTATGTATACATAGCACCATGAATGACCAGTATGGTCATAAATTTATATAAATTAAAAGCTCTGGAAAGAAAGATCAGACAGAGGTCTGGATAGTGTAATTAGCAATCTGTATGGTAAACAGGAGTTGTGAGTTCAAGTTCCACTCCAGGTCAATTCTTTTCTTCCAGAAATTTTAAAATTAATTTGTAATTTATTATAATTATTTAAATTATCATGAGATGGTGGGCTAATCAAATCATTTTATTTCTAATTATTAAAATTATCCTTATTAGTCTGATAATATGGCAGATTGTTTGGCACAAGTTTAAAGTTCTAACTAAGAATCCTTGAATTAAATGTTTGATTGTATTATTTCATTACACAGTAGTCTCTCGAAAACTCGGCACTTGATAACCCGGCAGTCCGGATAACTCAGCCACACCCTGGCAGGGCAAAAAAATCCTTAGTTAATTCATTTTCATTATAGACAGCTTTATGCCTCAAAGTATTTTTCTGAGGTCTGTCTTATCAGGTAAATTATTGTACACAGTGTATTTATTAATTTTCATTTTCATGTAGTAAAGGCTCTATGCCTTCATAAAGGACATACTTTTCCTTTGTTTAAGGGTATTTGGGCAGTTTATTCTCTGTTTATTCTCAAGTAAACAATACATACAAGTACAGTACAGTATTTTCTTAGGAAACACTCATTTATTTTTTTTAACCCCATTCTCGATATCCCAGCATTTTCACAAATTCGGCCCCCCTTTGGTCCACATTAGGCCATGTTTCGAGACTCTACTGTAATACTTTTACAGTTAAAATAATGTTGTTAGTATGCCGATAAGCATTCCACAAATGACTTCCATTTTAAATTTGTATACAAGGTCCCAAAAATCCTTAATCTGCACTGACTGCATACTAGAAGAAATCATGCTTTCAATGACCATTTGAAGTTATGAAGTGTGTGTGGTTGAGTTACGTGAAGATTTTATTTCTGTTTTAGCAACTTTCAGTGGACTATAGACTAGTATAGATTAGCTGCATAATATTAATTTTGTATTGTTTTGCACTAAACATGAAATATTAAAAAGAAAATTAAAATTTACTTTTTAGGAAATGATATATTTTACAAATACAGTATTACAGATATAAAATTTTTTTACAAAACTTAGCAATATATAAAAAAAAAACTCAAGAAAACTCTTTTCCTAAAAATAGTATTTGAATGAAGAGGCTAAAATTATTTAATTAAAACTATTTGGAATAGATGTATTTGTATGAATAATGAAAACAATTTCTTGATTGAAAAATGAAAAATTTTCAGCTTGATATTTAATTAAAAAGTAAGGAGCACAATGTAACAGACATTTTAAATTTGTGCATATATTTGAAACATTTTGTAAGGAGATAATCTTTCTAAAATAAATATGGTTTGTAAATCATTAAAACTATGTTTTGTTAATTCTTATGGTAAAATTATTCAAGTTTTCAAACTAAATAACATATACAAAAAGTAAGTAACACACCTACACACACACACAAAATAAGTTATGCATCAAAGTAAATTATCCCATTACTGCAAAATTTAGCATACAGCTTGTTAGACTTGATGTTGCTTGTTGGAGATTAGCAAAACTAGTTTAGACTCGTGTAATTGGTTATGTAACAAAGAAACAAAGAATACACAAAGATTACACTGTCTTGACTCACAGGAGAATCAGTGCAGAAAAAGGAAGAGTGAAATGAGGTCACCATCACCAACAGCTCCCCGAGAGGTCAACAGCGCCACCAACCTTTTATTACATAACGGAAAAATATTTACAAAACATTACCATGACACAATGCATTGTATGTAGTGATGTCATATAACATTTAACAATAATTTCAATCGTTGATTCCAACACACCCCTCCCTCAATGATTGATCATTAATACAATTCGATATCATGAGTATATTTCTTAATCTTATTCACATCTAGAGGTTTGGTTAACAAGTCAGCCATCATCTGTTCACGCAGACAATAGATTACAGTAATTTCTCCTGAATTCTTTAAATCATGTACAAAATGGTATTTTGTGTCAATATGTTTCATGTGCTGTTGTGCTTTTCCTAATTCTAAAAGTTAAATACAACTTTGATTGTCCTCAAATATTTTGATAGGTGTTGTAATTGGTAGATTTATTTCTTCTAGAAGTCGTTTCATCTGTGGCTATATGCCATATATATATTCTAGATTAAATAGTTTTAATAACACTCTCCCTTCTTCCTTCTTAATCCTTCTTTCTAACTTCCTTTGTTTATTGTTCTGACTTCTGGGAACAAGGGCTCTCCCCTTCCCACTCACTAGGGGGTCAGGTGGGACAATGCACTTTGATTCCTTAAAGTGCATTGCCCCACCCAGAAGATAGCAAGTAGAAAATGGAGTCTCTAACAGTCATTCTTTGGCTGGACACAAAAAGGCATGAACATAGATCAGTAAGTTCATAAGACAGAATTCGAAGAAAGCAGAACTGAGAGCTGTGAAGTGGAGATCCGGACGATAGAATCAGAGCGACCATCAAAGCTATTAAAGAAAAAGACATTCAACAAATAAAAGAAGAGCCCAGAGCTACTCAGAAAAAAGACACGAGTCGACATCGAAGTTCATCGAGTATTGGGTACCCCACTATCCTATTCATTCTTCTTATTTCCATATCTCTAGATTTTCTATCTTTAGGATTAATTAGTTAAGGATTGTGCATGTTTGATTATTATTATCGGGTAAATAGTTACTACGGAAGTCAGCTACTTGGTCGTTTATTGCCATCAGGCAGTGAAGGAAATTGGTATTGAGAGAGACTGAGGGAATCCAAAAGAACTGTTCTATATATAATCGTTTATCGCAAGATTAAATTTGTTTAAACAAATTCAAGAGCTTGTGTATTCTTATCGCGTTTCACACTTTTACACATCCATACAGTTTTTTGAGTAGCTTCTGCCAAGGCTACATACTTGGCTTTGGTGGATGAAAGTGCTACACACTGTTGCTTTTTACTAACCCAATGGATAGAACTTCCTTTTAACAAGAGCAAATATCCTGTGTTCGATTTACAGTCTATACAATTACCTCTCCAGTTGGCATCTACATAAAATTTAAGTTCTAATTCTTCATCAATATTTCCTAATTTAAGTTTCTTCATTTTTGTCAATTCAGATAATGAAAGATTCTTTTCACTTCCACCCAATCACTTTCCAAAGGTTTTGTTACTTTTCTCGTTAATATTGATGTACTTATTGCAATATCTGGATGCGAGTTAGTTGGTAGATATAATAAAGATCCAATAGCACTTCTGTACACATTGTTGTTTTTGAATGTATCAAGCATTTCATTTCTTCTTAAGTATCCTGTATCCATAGGAATATTAGACAGTCTTGAATTGGATAAGTTAAATTCTCGCAATTTATTTTCAATATATCTTTCTTCATAATTGAAGATCAGACTATTTACAAAAATATCAAATTTTCGAGTCTATCTTAATCCTTTTAATATACTCCAGAAGTAACAGTTAACATGGGTTTTTTTGAAGAATATACTTCTTAAAACAAAGGTAAACAATAAGTAAAAAAAGGTTCACAATGTTAAAAACGATCAAGTGTCAGCCTTCTATTATAGGTTCTGACACTTTACATTAAAAACATGAAGAATTCTTCTCACCACATTGTCCTTATCCATTTTTTAACTGCTTCAGGCCCTCTGGTGGTAGTTACGAGTTATCCTTACTTAATTTGCATATGGATACAATTTCTGTAATTACTCAGGATATATATCTTCATAATTGAAGGTCAGACTATTTACAAAAATATCAAATTTTCAAGTCGTAACTATCACCAGAGGGCCTGAAGCAGCTAAGAAATGGATAAGGACAATGTGGTGAGAAGAATTCTTCATGTAAAGTGTCAGAACCTATAATAGAAGGCTGACACTTGATCGTTTTTAACATTGTGAACCTTTTTTTACTTATTGTTTACCTTTGTTTTAAGAAGTATATTCTTCAAAAAAAAAAAACCCATGTTAACTGTTACTTCTGGAGTGTATTAAAAGGATTAAGATAGACTTGAAAATTTGATATTTTTGTAAATAGTCTGACCTTCAATTATGAAGAAATATATCCTGAGTAATTACAGAAATTATATCTTTCTTTGTGGAGTGAAAATATTCCATTCTTGTCTCTTTCAAACTGTATTCCCAGATAATATTTTAAGTCACCTAAATTCTTGATTTTAAAGTTTTCTTTCATTTCAGTCTCAAATTCGGTTAACATATGTTTGTCTGTGGCCATTGCTATTACATCATCTACATGAATTGCTAAATACAAGCATCTTTTATGGCCTCTGGTATAAAGACAGGGCTCTTAATGTCATTTTAATATAATTTATGAAAATTTTAAAAAATATGTTAGCTAATATTGAATTATATTATTATAAAAGTATTTTCAGCCAAAAATAAGCAGATATATAATTTAAATATATTAAATTATATATCTGCTTTTGCTTTTAAATTAAACATCTCAAAACCTGATAATTACATTAAAGGCAAACAATTACTGGATTAAATCGAGTTACATTACTGCTAATAATAATTATTAAATACAAAGTAATTTGAAACTAGAGGTAGATATTAGGTACCATCTCATTAAATTCAATAATTATAATCAAATTCATATTTATTAAATAATTTAGAAAATTCTGGAAGAAAAGAATCAGTCTGAAGTGGGATTCAAACCCACAACTGCTGCTTACTGTCCAGATATGTTGCCACTAATGCTACTAGGACTGCCATCCAATCCTTTGCTTCCAGACATAACTTATACATACAGTATATAGTAAGTAGTATGGTTATATCTAAATTAAATTTGTCTGGAAACAAAGGATTGGATGGAGGTCTGGGTAGTGTAACTGGCAACACATCTGCATGGTAAGTGGCAGTTGCAAGTTCAACTCCTGCTCTGGACAAATTTTTTCTTCCAGAATTTTCTAAATTATTTAATAAATATTAGTAGCAATAATGTAACAAAATTTAATTCAGTAACTGTTTGGCTGTAAAAACAGACATTTAAAATATATATTAATGTTTAGAGAAAATGAAAAATAATGATACTTAATTATTTTTTTTTATTAAAATTAGTTCAATTTTTCTTATTTATTAAAATTAATTGAATAAAGAAATAAAATTTTTAAAAATATTACCAGTTCCTTTAATGGAGATAACTTCTGCCCTAACTACAAATGAGGTTTCTGTTAAATTTGATTTGTACAAATAAGTTTGAGATGGAACTGCTAATACACGAGCTTCTTTCTCCGATGTCATTACTATAAACTGACTATCACGAATTTCGGAAGAACTTGTTGTAGGGGATGCGCGATTCTTTCCTAAGTTCCCTATAAATAATAAATTATATGATTAATATAAATATTAAATAATAATTTTAAAATACATATTATATAATATTAATTAAAACTCAAATATATTTTGATATAACAGTTTTTAAAAATATATTTACATTGTAATTAAATAGTAATTGAGTAAGTACGTAATGCTGCAACACTTAAAATAATTTCTTAATAATAATAAATTGTATTTATGTATTATTTAAATATTTATTAAAATCACTTTCATATTGACTGACATTATATATATATAATGTCAGTCAATATGAAAGTGATTTTAATAAATATTTAAATAATACATAAATACAATTTATTATTATTAAGAAATTATTTTAAGTGTTGCAGCATTACGTACTTACTCAATTACTATTTAATTACAATGTAAATATATTTTTAAAAACTGTTATATCAAAATATATTTGAGTTTTAATTAATATTATATAATATGTATTTTAAAATTATTATTTAATATTTATATTAATCATATAATTTATTATTTATAGGGAACTTAGGAAAGAATCGCGCATCCCCTACAACAAGTTCTTCCGAAATTCGTGATAGTCAGTTTATAGTAATGACATCGGAGAAAGAAGCTCGTGTATTAGCAGTTCCATCTCAAACTTATTTGTACAAATCAAATTTAACAGAAACCTCATTTGTAGTTAGGGCAGAAGTTATCTCCATTAAAGGAACTGGTAATATTTTTAAAAATTTTATTTCTTTATTCAATTAATTTTAATAAATAAGAAAAATTGAACTAATTTTAATAAAAAAAAATAATTAAGTATCATTATTTTTCATTTTCTCTAAACATTAATATATATTTTAAATGTCTGTTTTTACAGCCAAACAGTTACTGAATTAAATTTTGTTACATTATTGCTACTAATATTTATTAAATAATTTAGAAAATTCTGGAAGAAAAAATTTGTCCAGAGCAGGAGTTGAACTTGCAACTGCCACTTACCATGCAGATGTGTTGCCAGTTACACTACCCAGACCTCCATCCAATCCTTTGTTTCCAGACAAATTTAATTTAGATATAACCATACTACTTACTATATACTGTATGTATAAGTTATGTCTGGAAGCAAAGGATTGGATGGCAGTCCTAGTAGCATTAGTGGCAACATATCTGGACAGTAAGCAGCAGTTGTGGGTTTGAATCCCACTTCAGACTGATTCTTTTCTTCCAGAATTTTCTAAATTATTTAATAAATATGAATTTGATTATAATTATTGAATTTAATGAGATGGTACCTAATATCTACCTCTAGTTTCAAATTACTTTGTATTTAATAATTATTATTAGCAGTAATGTAACTCGATTTAATCCAGTAATTGTTTGCCTTTAATGTAATTATCAGGTTTTGAGATGTTTAATTTAAAAGCAAAAGCAGATATATAATTTAATATATTTAAATTATATATCTGCTTATTTTTGGCTGAAAATACTTTTATAATAATATAATTCAATATTAGCTAACATATTTTTTAAAATTTTCATAAATTATATTAAAATGACATTAAGAGCCCTGTCTTTATACCAGAGGCCATAAAAGATGCTTGTATTTAGCAATTCATGTAGATGATGTAATAGCAATGGCCACAGACAAACATATGTTAACCGAATTTGAGACCAAAATGAAAAAAATCTTTAAAATCAAGTTAGGAAGTATTGATGAAGAATTAGAACTTAAATGTTATGTAGACACTGACTGGGAAAACGATCGTATAGACCACAAATCGAACACAGGATATTTGCTCTTGCTAAAAGAAAGTCCTATCCATTTGGTTAGTAAAAAGCAACAGTGTGTAGCACTTTCATCCATGGAAGCAGAGTACATAGCCTTGGCAGAAGCTACTCAAGAAATTGTATGGATAAAACAACTTCTAGAAAAAATAAATCTACTGATTACAACATCTATCAAAATATTTAATAAGGACAATCAAGTTGTATTCAACTTTTAGAATTAGCACAACAGCACACAAAACATATTGACACAAAATACCATTTTGTATGTCATTTAAAGAATTTGAGAGAAATTACTGTAATCTATTGTCCGAGTGAACGGATGACAGGCAACTTGTTAACAAAACCACTAAACCCAAATAACGTTAAAAAATTTACTCGTGATATTGGATTGTATTAACAATCAATTGTTGAGGGGATGTGTTGGAATCAATGATCGAAATTATTGTCTAATGTTATATGGCATCGTTATGTACAACACATTGAATCACGATGTTTTGTAAACGTTCTTCCGTTATATAATAAAAGGTTGGTGGTGCTGTTGACCCCTCAGGGAGCCATTAGAGACGGTGACCTCATTTCACTCTCTCCCTTTACAGTGTTGACCTTCCGTGAGTCAAGACAGTGTAATCTTTGTGTATTCTTTGTTTCTTTGTTATATAACCAGTTACATGAGTCTAACTTGTTTTTACTAATCTCTCCGACAAGCAACATCTAGTCTAACACTACTTTTGTCATCAAATATTATGTAATGCCAAACCCATATTATATTAATCAAATATCAATGTTAACTTAGAAATATGCTTTAAGTAACTTTAGACCCAATCCACACTATCAAGCTCACAGTCTGATCAAATATTTATCAATTATGACCAATTTATATTTACACTAAGATCAAAGCTAGTTTCAGTCTTGTACATTGAACACAATTAGTAAAAGTTGACAGGACTATAAACAGCTTGACAGTCTGGCTCAGGACTTAATAGAAGAGTCAATGGTGAGACTGTTGACCATCTGTAGGACAGACAATAACACACTATCTCTCAGACAATCAAAAGAAATTAAACCTAGACTGGAACCAGAAATATACAAACTGAAGAACAGAAATCTATAATGTTAATATATATTTAATTTCAATTAAATTTGCCTATTAGTGACATGTCTATAACAGCATACATCAAAATTACATGGTATGTAAGTTAATGTAAAGTTAAACCTCCATAAGACAGAAATTATTCTTTATTCACTGAACACTCAATAAGTGCTGGACTCTGACCTAACTAATTCATTCAGAAATTGAGCACTCAGTTTCTGATAAAGCTTGTTCCTGAATTCATTTTTTGATTCAATGAAGTTAGATGCCTCAGAAAATTCTTGCACATTACACATGAATGAAACTTACATCAATTAATCAATTATTTTGAATAAAAGTATGTAACATTAACATGGGGCAGCAATTTCCATGAAAATTCCATGAAATTCTTTTTATTTTCCAAACACATGAAAATTCCAGTTTTCCATGATTGCTATGAACCCTGCATAAGTCAAGCGATACCTGTAAATTTAACTTATCATTAATAGTTTATTAAAAGTGGTGTTTTTCAAACTTTTAATTAAAGATTAATATTTCTTTCTTATTCATTCATTTTAATTTTAAAAAAACAATTTTCATTTTTTAAATTTAATATCCAATAAAAATTAATACTTGTTTATTGCAAAAAGTATATTAACAAGTATTTATTTTTATGAATATTTTTAGGCTATATTTCATAATTATAAATTTTTCTA